AAAATGAGGTCCAAAATTCCATTATCTGTTTTTCAGGGTAGTGATAGACTCCAGGATTGTGTTCTACACTCAGGCCCTTTTTAAGGGTAGGTCAGAGGACCCTAAAGAGAAAGAGGAATTATAGACAAATTTCTTTCAACGGTAATTCCACGCTGATTGTCCAGAACGTACTAAAATGTTCCATCCACTTAATTCAAAAATCATAATAGTCCTCTCCATCACCCTACTGATGTCCCTTCTATTGGTCCTACTGAAATGTAGAGGCAGAAGTAAAATCAGAAGTGACTTCCCTATCCAGTCCAACTATCTCTGCATATTATTCACTTCCATAGGCATCTCATTTTAACAGACAGATGTGGCAGGTACACATGGCACAACACCACTTGCAATTAAAAAGTATCTCTGGAAAGTCCCAGGCCACAAACTGAAATAGATAACTGCACAGGCTGTCCTTCAAACCTCCTTCCCTATTTTAAAACTAAGCACCATACACCAACTAGACTTCTCTTAATATGCTGGCTATTATCCAGAGAAAATCCTCCACAGTATTGTTGGTTTTGTAATCACAAATGAAAAACTGGGATGTCTTCTCTCATTCACCAACTATAACAATCCAGTGCTTAGACTCCTTCAGCCATGAAAATCCAAACCTATTTAGAAACACATTTGGAAAATGTGCATAGGGAGAGACCTCACCGATATTTTAATTGTGAATGGTGGGTTTGGCTGTACTACAAGAGCCCAATTCTGTGGGACAGATTGAAAACAGCTACATTACACATGTTCACTACAAAAAGAGCATGTTTGTAAGTTAGCCAACATGGATTCACTAACTCCGTAAAATCCTCGTAAGAATCAAGGAACTTTGTAGCTTTCGCATGAGTTACTACGTTAAATTCATGGTACCATCTAGGCCAGTGGGGGCCAACCTTTTTTCGTAGGCGTGCCACAACCTAAACCCCGCACGTTCCCGGAGTGCCACTCCAACCCGTTCTCACCTCCTGATCTGCTGCTCCGCTTTGTGCTCCCTGCCTCATCTGCCACCTTCCACAAAGAGGCTCTGCATGCCACTTGTGGTACACATCCTGCTCCAAGCATTTAATTAATTTGCTAATCCTTGTGAAAAAATGACAAAATGCCTTGACTTTACCTGGAGCTAATCTGAGCTAAGAACACACTTTTTTATGGTAGAGAAGATAAAGCCTAAAGTTGGAGCCAGTCTCACGTATTTCTCAGAGAGAAATTCAGAAGAGTGCTGCTGTCTGCCTGAGCATGTGTAAATCTCTATACTTTATACTGCGGCATGTATTAACTTTGAAATTGCAACAGCTTCTGTTCAAGAAGTACTGGTAATATTGCAAATACCAGACAATAGCTGCTGCTATTTACAATGTTTTCTCTGTGTGCGGGCGTGAAATGTTTTTCTTAGGGCCCTGTCACCTGGAGCACTTAGCACATGCTTTATCTGAGATCACAGTTAGCATTATGGTGCCATATTAAAAGTTGGAAAGTGTTCTGAGCGGCCTCATGGTAATTCTTACTGTGTTCTCAGTTTGCTCTGGATTGGGTTGGAGCTGCAGGGCTCCTGCTGCCCTAGCCCCCTACCTAACCTAGTATTGGACGCTGCAGCTTGCACATCTACCTATGAAGTATGCAAACCACACACACAGAGCCTGTGCCCTCACCACCATATGCCCAACCCTGCCTAGGCCAGGAGTGCCTGCCCCGGCACACTGGGCACACTGGGCCTCTGCTGCAGGTGGACGGAGGCACAAGGAGCTGAACCTGGGAGAGGAACACCTCCTCCCACTGGATCCAGGGGGCAGTCTCAAACCAGCTCAGTGAGAGGGCTGGGACTGACAATCAGCTGATTGCCCCAGCCCTGGCACTGCGCCAGTCTGGAACATGTTTTACGGGTGCGGAGCAGTTTGACAAAAGCCGACCACATTTCTTAATATGATCTGGGGATGCTCCTCCCATGAAAAGTCATCTTGTTGGTACCACACGGTCACACTTAGCATGTATTTTGCTGCTTGAATGCATGGATGCTTGCCATTTTAAGTGCAGGTAATGTGTCCCAAGTTTAATGTGGGACATGGTCCTTACTAAGACTCTGTGTGTTGTTCTATGGAGATTGGGAACTATTAGCACCCATTCATCAGAGTTTAACAATATAACACTTTCTGAGTGGCCCTGAAACAGAGAGAGAACTGTGGCCTATATTGCAGCAAAATGTGAGGGGAAAGGGGGCCTGCAATATTGTTATGCATAATACGGCTTCGGTGTCCCCCTATTCTGTCTTATTTCCTCTCTGAAATCCCCTATTAGCTCTTCAACCTCCACTTGTTGATATCCCCTCCTAACCCCGATGTAGCTCTTCCCACCCTTTATGTGTGTTGGCCTGACCCATTGAGTCTTGATGCTTAGCTGGTCTGTTTTTCCATGTAAATATGGTTTTTCCTATACACATGGCTATTGTCCACATCTGAGCTGGCCGGAGACATACGTTTACCTCGTTTAAATCTCTTCCAAAGAACCACCTCTTCTGATGCCCTAGGACCGTGGTTCTCAAACTTTTTGGACTCGAGGCACACCTCTGTAAACTTTTGGGAATTGAGTGGTCCCAATTTCAAAAACTAATTAATATAATACAGGGCTTAATTCCTTACACAGGGGGATGGGCAATGGGGCTGGAGCATCACTCAGGCCTCACTTATCTCCTCTGACCTTGTGGCATCCTTCAAAGGATGTGGCAGCACCATAGGGTGCCCCAGCACCCTGGTTGAGAATCACGGCCCTAGAACTTGCAAGAAACGTGCCAACTCAGTCATGTACAAGTTTCATGGGAGGGAGGGAATTTAAATATTAAGTGGAAGGAAGAATGAAACTTTAATGGGAAAATGGTGTGAAAAAGTAAAAGAGGTTGAAATTTAAAAGAAAGAGAAATGTGAACGTAACATGTTTTCTCTTGGTTTGGTCTTTTGTTTAAGATTCAAACACAAATAACGTTTGGATTCATCATCAGCTGATCACTTTGCCTACATGCATTCTTAACCCTTTGCCTGCATATTATGTGTTTGGAAAATGTAATTGGTATTCCCAGACCTTAAATTATAATGCAATGTACATGCAATAAATTGCAAGAATGTGCAATGAATTAATTTAATCATACACCCTTGATCTATTAATTAATCAGCCTCAGGATGTTAGTAAATTGGCTTTTTTTTTTTGGTTAGCTTAAGACATGTTTCCTCTACCACCATCAAAATGCTGCATTTCCTGCTCCCTCCTCCCCCCCACGAAACAACAACAACAACAACAACAACCCTTCATCCTAAAATCCAGGACAGGCACAATTCAGTCCACCTCGAACAACAGACACTCTTTACCCCAAAACGCATTAGCTTTGAAGTCCACAGCTTTAATGCGCAGCCAATCCCACCTAACTTTATTAACATAGGAATACAGCTTTAGTAGCTGTTGTAAAATTATGTTTCAAAGAGTTTATATTCTTAAAATAGCTTTTCTGTAACTCACGTGACATATAAAAACACATGGCGGTGTTGCAAAAACATTTTACTAGCATTCATTTGGAGTGACTTGCATAAGTAACTTAAGATTTTACTCCCTTCACTCCAAACCCGACCCCAAAAAACCTCACAAACTACACTATCATATTTTATGTCTACTTTGCATCCAATATCATCATTTCTGCTGTGGATTTGGAAAGTTCTCTCCTGCTTAAAAGTAATTTAATATTGTAGCAGTTAGCTTGGTAGAAAAATACACCGGAGCTTTTTGAAAAGTAACAATCCTAGGTGAGAAAGACCCAAAACAAACTTACAGTGTATCTGGATGTGCTTGTTCTCGCACCAGAGACAGGCATATAACATCCTAGCTAAGACCCAGATAACAAGTGGCAAGTTCATTTCTGAAGATACACTTAACACCTTGTAAGTATTAGAGAACACTTCCAGAAAGAAAGTGTGATTAAAATAGTGCTCAAGTTTTGAACTCATTCTGCAGTTTCCAAATTCATCACCAAACATATCAGCACTCTTTTGAAAAGATATATGCCAGAAAGGTAAAAGACAGGATAGCATATGAAATTATGGGGCGCACTCCTTTGAGAAGTCTCACACAAGTGTAATAGTATGGTGTACTACCCTGTGTATTAAGAGAGGGCATGAAAACTGGAACAGACTTATCGGATTTAAAACTGCCTGGATTTCACCACTCAGACGTAAAGGTGTCAAAACATTCAACAGAAGTTACCCTAAAATACTCTTCAAAGTTTTATCATTCAATTAGTTCAACAAACATACACCTAAAATAGCATCAACCAGGACCCGTTAAATGGCCATGACTTTTAAAATAAAACTTTCCCAACCTCTGCACACCAAGTCAAAAAGATCAGGAAAAAGAAATGTGGCAGTTACAATTTTTCTGTTTGTCACTGGCTTTGTTAAATATAGGGCAAAGCAAGAATCACGAGCAAGTTGCAAAGACCAAACCTACGCCTTAGAGAAACAACAGACCACTGAAATGTTCAACAGCACAAAATAAGAAAACAGCACATTTGTTTTCCCTGCAAGAACATCCATCCTTACTGATCAACTTTTGCACCGCCTCTCGCTTAATAAAAAGTTTCTTAAAATGTTCCCTTTGGAAGCAAAGCAATGAAAGCAAAGAGTTAATCCTGCTGCAGTATCAACTGGTGTTAGACTTACTATTAACTTTAATTTACAGAGTAATCTCCCTTTAAAAAATGATCAGCACTTCCTTGCTGCACTGTAACACGGAGAAGTATATTTTAAATGCTCCCTGGAGTCTCTCTAAACATCTGCTTAAAGGTTTTCTGTATCTTAAAGGGATCTAATTACCAGAAACTCCTCTGTTACTTAAGCCCAGGGCTCACATTTCGATTATAACTCAAGTTCCAGTTAATTTGGGGGGTAAACCAAGATGACTGTACCAAAAAGAAGAAAATACAGGCCTACCTTAAAACTTTCCAGCTTTTCAGAGGATCCAAGTCAGAGATTATAGAAACCATTGTATAAATAATAATGATAAAAAAAAAAAAGCTGCGGAGAAGGCTAACCACAAAAAGCAGCAAGTACTCTGCTCAGTGTGGGAATGACAACGGCCCCAGCAGAGCTCTTCCTACTTCTCAAGCTGATAAGCACTTGTCCCAGCTTCTCTCCACCCCCAAAATCAATCTTGTGCTATATTGCTTCACAGTCCCAGTTTCATTTCTTCACCACTACCTTTTAAAGCCCTTGTAATCTGCTCCAACTGATCAAATTTGACCTTTTTGTAGCCCACTTTATTCCAAGCACAGCTCTCGGTTAAATCTCTCTTTATTAACACCGTCCTTCTTGGCTTTCTTTTGGAACAAACACAGATCAAGCTTGAAGCCTCTAGACTTTGCCAGCAATCATTTACAGATTACTGCAAACTGCAGCCTTCTCCTTTTGGGTATTTCTTCTGCCTCTTAGGTTTGCTTTCATATTCTTTTTCCAAAGGTTGTTTAGGATTTCCCATCCCCCATGCTTTTATTTTCTATAGTTTAGATTCTGCTACTTCAAGAGGGGTCTTTTTAAAACAACTCCCCACTCTACATACACATCTCTCCCCTTTAAAAAAAAACCAAAAACCAAAAACTTCAGAACCTTACAAATTTGGCTTTGTCTTGTTTTGTATTTTTTCCCCTCAAATATAACAGCTCCATAAACTTAAGCTCCAATTCAAAGTACCCTGGTTTCTGGACAAGGCTCCTTTTTTTTTGTAGAACAAGCTTAATTCAAAGTCAAATGTATCCCCATAAAAGCCTGAAAGGGCTTAAAGGTGTCTATTTAAAATCCTTCAAGCCAATCTCTTTTTTTTTCTTTTCATTTTTAAAAAAAAGATAGTATAGCATTGTTCAGATTACTAGAGTGCACAGCACTCTGACAGCACTCTTTTGGGCCAATATGCTATTTAAAAATATATATATGAATGAGTGCTTTCTTTGTATTTTTTGCGCAAACGTTTTTGACGTTGGTTTTTGAATGTGTCTGTCTATATATTTTTTCTCCTCTTCACACCTCCCGTTCAAAAAAAATGATTGTCCCCTCCTGCCCATCAGTATTGATTCACTGGAGGAGATACTGGAATTCCTCTAATGAAAATGTCGGTACTGGACAGAACGTGCAACTGTAGAGCAAACCTCTGGAAAGGGCCAAGGTGGACCAAATGGTGGATATTTCCCCAACCATGCATTAGCAGAGGGACATCCCTTGTTCCATTTTCCTCCTTCCAAATTATGCTGTCCTCCAGTAGAAATAACTCTCAGGGAAAGTGAGGAACAATTTGCATTTCTAAGGCAAGAAAGTCCAGTGAGAAAGAGACTAGCCTGGAACTTGAGAGACTCATGATAAAGTCCCTGCTTCTCCACAGATGCCTTATGCAAGTTCTCCTCCAGTTCTCCATCTGCAACATGAAGGGCATTTGTGCCTGAAAGCTTGCTAAGCAGAATTTTTCCAACTATTTGAGTTGGTTTAATAAAAGATACCAGATTTACCCCCAAATACCTGTCTACACAGGAAACAGGGCACTCATTTGGATAAACACATTAAAGATAGTGAGGTGGTTAGATAGTTTGTTAATAAACCCATGTAAGTGCTTTACATGATTAGTTGCCCTCCTCTAGAAATCCAATCTGTTGCTTCCTTCCATGGCAGGACTGCCAACTGTCCATAAGTTAGTAAAAATTAAGGATAAAATTCATACAAAAATTCAGCTATCTATAAAAACTCTAAGCAGTTAGATCTGATTGAAGATCCCTGGTTCGCAATAAGCTTGGTGCAGTGTTGAAGGACAGGTGGAGCACAGCACCACCACCTGCTGTCCAAGCAGGAGTACAGCACCCTGCAGGGAGCATTCTCTATGCTTTGTGGAGAGTCCATTTGTCTGCCTAGAGCAGTGTTACTCAACCTGTGGGACGTATAGATCATGTAGGTGGGACTTTTTTTTTTCCTTAAAAATTTCCATTAATGATTACTATAATACTAAAATGCATGTAAATGTAAAAATACACTTCTTGGAAAAAGTGGGGTTTTGTTTTTATCATGGTGGGACCAGGATTTTTTGACAAAATGGTTGGTGGGACACAAGGTGCAAAACATTGAGAACTACTGGCCTAGAGTATTCCTGGATTGCAGACAGACATTTTTGGGGGTTCGTTCCAGGATGGGTGGGGGTGGCTGGTGGGGTAAGGTCGGATGAGGCAGCAGGATGTGGTCGGGGCATCAGGAGGACCTGGGTACAGGAGCAGCACAATGTAAAACCTTTGCTGCAGTCAAACAGGATTGCCCACGCAAGAAAAAAATACTGAAACTTTTTCCCCCCAATGACAACCAAACTAACTTCTATTTTTTTTACTGTGGTTAATGTTAAATCCTAAATTTGAACCTAGCCCGTTTAACTGGGATCTTGCAGCAAGGCAAGGTCTGGCTGAAGAATTACATTTACATTATTTAAGACATATCAGTAAAACGCATGCTAGTAAAAAAGTTTAGTTGTCAGTAGAAAGTTTGCAGATTGCAAATCTAGAAAATATTCCCTTGGGTTGGCAACCTTGTTTCATGGTTGTGGTGAAGGAAAATTCATGTTTCTTTGATTCTACCTAAAGGCTAAATTACACGTTCCCTCTTTTCCTCCTCTCTGCAAGAATGTGAGCTTCCTGGGAGTCTCTTGCTAATATAGGGGCTGCACATACTCCTCTCCCACTCTTTCCACTTTACCTCACTTTCAAATAAATCACTTAAACCCGCCCCAACCACATTTATATCTACTCCCTCACAAGGCTCTCACTGTTTAATTCATGTTCATTACGAAGATTAAAAAAGTGTAACTTTTTTCACCCTAAGCAATGTTTCAGAATTGAGGAGGGAGAGAAGAAAATATCCTATCACCTCAGACTTTCTTTTTTTCCTTCTGTATCAATCATATCATGGGGCTTTGTCACATTATAAAAGATGAGTGTTATATAGTTAAGGCTGGGAGAAGGGAGAACCAGTCTCACTCCAGGTCCTATTATAGGGCTATAAATAACTTTATCATTTCATTCATTATTGGCCATATAGCTTACAAAAGATGGGCCTGAACCAAACCACAGGATCGGAGAACATGTATGTAGCATTCCAGTCCTACTACTGACATAGCATAATGCCTCATCTACACTGAATGAAGGGCAAGTAACATTACTCTCCATTTTACAGATTAGGAAACTGAGGCCTAGAAAAGCAACTTGTCCAAGGCTGCAGGCTCAATATCAAAACTTGTATAAATAAACCCTCCAAAATTGCTGAGCCCAATTTAATCTCCACATCTGCAAAGCCCACAAAGCCTAGCTCACGTCGCACATAGTCAATACGTTTCGGGCTTTACTCGCACTCATTTTTGCAAAAGTCCCGGCCCACCCTTGGAGAACATTTTATAACCTTCTCCCACTGTCTCTACAGTAAAGAAATATCCCTACAGTCAAGAAACATATTTCCTTTCTTATTTAGACTTGTGTAAGGTTATTTATATTATTTTCTTCTTAAACTTTTCCTCTCTGGAAATAAAGTCAAATCCTTCTTTCTCCTGACCTGACTGACATTTAGCCAATTTCTCTCCAGCACTGAAAAAAAGCAACTATAAGCTTTCTAAAAATAAGATGAGAAGGTTAAGTTTAGCAGAGAGAAACTTGCAACAGGCAATGGATTTTCCAAAACAGCCTCATGCATTTGACATAATAATAATAATGGTTAGCTACAATAGGGAGGAAAAAACAAACAAGACCAAAAAGTCCTGGATAAAATAATTTGCTTCTCATTACTGGACTTTCCCCTCGTTTAGCCAAATTCCTGCGTAATTATGATGTCTGATCTTTTGCCCTTTTAAATTCTTTTTTTTAAATAGGAAAAAAAAAATCAGTGAACTTCAGCTTGCTCCCCATCAAACAGACAATCACAGCTGTAAAATATTACAAAGTAAAATTTACTACAGTTAGCCTGGAGGCAACAGCGCTGAAAGTTTCCTCTACCTGCTGAAGGATCCCAGCCTACCTGTCAATGCAATTCAGGTCTGTCCTTGTTGTAACATGTATTGAATGCAGCACCAGAAAGAGGTTAGCAGTTCTCTGCTAATAAGCTGAAGTCTTCCAAGAGTTTCTTTGGTGCTAAAAGATTTTAAAAACCCCAAATACAACATTCACATGCACAAATACACAAGGGGAAAAAAACCCAAACCAACAACCTCAAAATAGTGTCCCCTTTCCTGGCTGAGATAACCACATCTCCTGTAAGCACTCAGAAAGTTTCAGATTAGTCAGCTACAAGCATTTGCAGGTCAAGTGCAGGACAAAGTATCACAAAAAAAAATTATAAAGATGACAGCTACTGAGTGTATAAGGCTGATTTTATGTCAAAATGAATTTTTTTTTCCAGGCGCTCACTCATCAGGGACCTGTTGCGCTATGTATTTAATTGTGTCGGACAGCAAACAGCAGAACAAGTGCAAGCAGCAGCGTAGTTCAGCTATGCAGTGCTTTTGCAAGGGGTCACATCATTCAAAAGTATTTGAGGGAGTCAAGGAAAGAGTCTGCCAAAGCAATCAATTTGAGCCAGGATAACCAGGTTATCAGGATAAACAGGTTATCAGACAGCAAAGGAAAGGTGTGGGTGAGGGTCACCTGCCCTTTAAAGCATCTTCCCACCACTCATATTTCTTCTCTCGTAACCATGTCTCAGTGCTCTGCATGCAAAGAAATATTAGGTTAGAAGAAGCTTGGGTCTCTGTCTCTTTTTTTTCTTAATCATTAAGCCCCCATTCTCTTTGGAGGGAGCCTATTGTGAAACAAAAACTTATCTATTCAAGTGTGGCCTCAAATTTAGTTGCTGTCTGCTGCTGCCTGATAAAGACTCTTCTTCTGGCTATTTCCCCTCC